GCAGATTTCATGGCGCCCCTTCTTGTTTCATTGCGTCCCTGGCCCCCCCGCTGGGCCGCGCACATGCCGCCGGTCATGATCTGCACCCCCCCCTCTTGGACGCCCCCCTCTTGGCCGCTCCCGAATCGAGGGGGGCGGGAGACCAGGCCACCGGGATGACCGTGGGCCCCTTGCGATGGCAGTCTCGTCGCCGGGCTCCGAGGCGAGCTGGGGAGGGGGGCCGAGGGCGCAGACATCCGCCGACCGTGTCAGTTCCTTCGGCGTTCCCAGACCCCCCGACCCCTTCCCCAGGGAAAGTTTTTCGTCCTGGATAGACTTCGACGGTTCCAGCCCCCGAGCATTTTGGTCCCAGCATCTATGTTCCACCATCGTTTTCGCAGCAAGAACATGCATCTCCTTCCACGCATGTCCGTTGGGGCCTGGAATGCCATCTATGTCCAGCTTGCAGCAGGTTCTGGTGGAATGTCAGGCCCCAGAAACCGCCCTTGCAGGCCGACATCGAGGAGAAACGCCTTCATTGACGAATCTGTTCCGGCCGCTGTCGGGTTGGCGACCTTCTGTCTCCGTGCCCGCGGCGACGCCGACAGCGAGCCCCGAGAAAAATGGGCAGAACCGCTGTTGGTCTTCGCACCTCTTCTTTACGCATCCATCCCGACCGTCTTGAGGGGAGCCCATGGGCTCTCTATTCTCGGCGGCGTACCCGCCCCCGGCGGAGGCCGCTGGAGGATCGCGACGCCTCGCTGATGCATCGGCTCGGCGATGCATCGGCGATGCACTGGCGATGCACCGGCGACGTCGGCGATGCCTCGGCGCCATCGGCGTGGAGAAATGTGGATTCCACATCGAGCCGCGTTGTCGATGCATTGGCGGTGCGGCGCGATCCTTCGACCCCATCTAAGATCTGCTCGGGCCCCGCGTGGCAGGCCTGGACCCCTCCCCTCCTTCTCGGAGCAGGGCGAGTTGAGATCCAACCAGCTCAGAGTCGATCCCTGGCCTCCCCCCGGGGTGCAGACGCACCAGCTCCCTCCCGAAGGCCAACGTCCGCTGTCTGAACTCGCCCTCAGATACACCTCAGGCGATGCTTAAGAAAACCTAAGTTTTCGGCCAGAGTCTCGATTATTCTTAATTTTTCCATGGAAATCCTAAGATTTGAATCGAAGTTCTGGGTTTTTGTTCGAGTTCTGAGACTCTGAATTTCTTAACCCATGATTTCTTAAGCATTTCGCAGGGTGCATCCGTGGAGCTCAGCTGCCCCGAGCGCGTTGACACGGAGCTCAGCGCGTAGACGGCAAGCGCAGTTCTGGCGCGATACGCTCGCCAAAACGGGGGGTTCTCTCGCACGCGGCGAGCCGGCACGCAGAGTGCCAGCACGGACGTTTTGCGCACGGCACGTGCTGCGTTCTTCACACGGGGGTTCACCACCCACCAAACCACCCCAACCCAACCCGAAGGCCAAAATTTATCCTCGATTTCCAGTGGGGGGGGGTCGGGGAACATCGAAAAAACACATGTGGAACCCTTACCCCCCCCAACCCGAAATTCGGGTCTTGGGGTTGGGTTGGGGTGGTCTGGTAGGTAGTCAGTCATGGCGCCGCCGACATCGCAGAGCGGATCTCGTTCGGAAAACAGCAGGATGGGCCCGGAGTGTCCTGGAGAACGTCCTTCCGGATTTCGGAGTGACTTTCGCACGGCTTTTTTCTTCTGACCGAAATCCGGAAGAAACACACAGACACAAAGAATCGTCGACCCCCAGGAAAATATGCCAAAATATGGGGAGTGGGGGGGAAGACAACAAATCCCCAAAATACAAGAAGATATTGGGAATCTGTCTATTTCTGTGTATTTATTTGTGTGTCCTTGGGCCCCTTCAATTCGTCTTTGTGTGTGTCACCATGTCTTAAGACATGGTGACACACACAAAGAAGACCCACCCGGAAATTCGCGGCGCCTTCTTCGCCCGCCGCTCCCGGGGCCCCGCACTGGCCGCGGCCCCCGCGCAGCGACTCCCTTGGGAGCCCGCCCGCAGGGTCGGCGCAGGGCCTCCCGGGACCCCCCCCGGCCGGAGGGGCCCCGCGGAAGTTCTGCCGTTTGCGGCGGGCTGTTCTCTGGGGTGGACAGACCTCCTACCCTGACACGTCGATTGAGGAATCGGCCGTTTTCGTTTCGCGAGGGGGCGTCGCGGCCGTCATTTCTGTGGTTCCAGGTCCGTCTGTTTCGGTCCCACGCCGTTTTCGCTAAGGGGAGGTCTACTAAAGGGAGGTTTGTCCACCGCCGATTGGAGATCGTTGACGTCCTGACTGCTCACGCACCCTTCTCGGCACCTGCAGGGTCGATTCTAGCAATCTGCGTTGGGGTGCGCATCGACATCTCATTCTGCGTCTGGGTGCGTACAGACATACCACGCATACAAAATGCCATGTATCATGAGGGCGTTCAAAGACCTGTGCATTTTCTTAGGGTGGAGGGCTCAGGGTGAAATCCATATGGGCTTTTGCACCTCGGAAACCAATTCGTCATGTGCTTCACCTTTTGCAGATTCAAGCCTCGAGAATCCATCGAAACGGCATTTCAGATTTCACGGCGGTCAGAAACGAAGGATTGCAACAAAAACCCAGAGGATTGCAAACAACGAAGGGTTTTTTTTGCAATCCTTCGTTCAATCGAGGGTTTTTTTTTTGGCAATCCTTCGAGGGCGTTCAAAAACGTCCCCGGCGGCGGGCCCCTCCCCTCGGCGGAGGCCGCTGGAGGCGCCCCTCGACGCGCCGCCGGCCCCGCGGCCCGTGCCGGCCGGCGCCAGCGCCGGCGGCCCCGCGAGCCCGCGGACGGCCGCCGAGGCCTCCTGGGCGGCGACGGCGACGACGACGGCGACGGCGACGACGACGACGACGTCGACGACGACGGCGACGGCGACGACGACGACCCAAGTTCGGGTCGGGCGAAAGGGGGGGTTTGGGAAAGGGGGGGTTACGAAATCTGCTGCATGCAGCTGGTTTCGGCCCCGCCGCGGGGCCCACTCCTCGATACATGGGCGCCTCCCGGCGCCGGGAGGCGCCGGGAAAATCAGCTACGTGAGCTGGTTCTCAAACCCCCCCTTTGCTATCCCCCCCTTTCGCCCGACCCGACAAGCGAGGACAGCACAACCCACCTCCAGCCAGGGCCCCCCCCCCCCCTCCCTGCCCTGGGGACCCCTGGGGGTCCTGGCTGGGGGTGGGGGAGGTTCTTGGGCCCTCCGAGACCTTCAGAGACCACCCCCACCCCCAGCCAGGACCCCCTGAATCACCAGGTCGGCAGTGGGGGAGGGGGGCTGGCGTGAGGGTGGTGCTGATGCTTGTGCGGTCCTCACCAAGACGTCCTGGCGCATCAAAGCCATCGAGGCGGCCAGCTTGTTGTGGCTCTTGGCCTCTGGAGACTGTTCCCGGGATAGGAAGCCGGCCTGTCTTGGGGGAGGGTCGAGCGGCCCCGGGCCCACCCATTGAGCAGGGACCGACCGTCCCGGCATTCCTATAGTCATACCACGAAATGTTCTTAGAACCCAAAAATGTTTTAATAACAAAAACAATGTTCTTAGAACGTGAAGCCGATGTGATACAACAAGACAGTTCTAGCCAGAAATGTTCGAAGAACATTTCGTGGGAACCACAAAAGGTTCTTAGAACATTGTTTGGTGGGGCTATAGGCGAACCAGGACGCTTCGCCACTGCTTGAACCCACGCATCGATCGAAGAGGAGATCAACTACATAATTCATTTTATTGCTCGAAAGTTGATTTTCTCGGGGGTGGACAGAGCCCCCACCCTGACACGTGAATTAGTGAATTGTTTGTTTTCGGCTCTCGAGAGGGCGCCGCGGCCGTCATTTTCCGGGCTTGCGCCCGCCAGGTTTGGGCCCGAGGTCGTTTTCACTAAACCACGTTTTGCTAAAGCGGGTTCTGTTCATCCCCGATTGCCCCGCCGAATCCACAAGAAACGCGTGGAAGGTTCGTAGATCTACGGGACATTCTGACCGTACGCACTCGTGTCGTAGATCCGGTGGGGAGATCAGTTTTGGGGCAAATGAACTCTGTAGTCGACCCCCCATTCGAATCGAGCATATGGACGGCACGGGACCGACGGCCACGAGATTTCGCCATTCGGCTCGACAGGTAGTTCTCTTCAAATTTATCGGGGGAGCGTAAGACCTGGGTTTGCCAGGACTCGGGTTCGCCATCGTTTTTTGACGACCGCGCCTCGGATTTTGACGAGGAGGAGTTTCGTGGGACGTCTGCAGCGGGAGGCCTCGTCAGAATGCAGGCTCGGCCTCGTCATTTTTTTGACGACCTCGTCGGGGATTTCCGAGTCCCCTGTGCCCAGGTCTTACGTCCCCCTGAATTTCGAGAGCACGAAGGGCTCTCGACCTGCCTCGCGCACACCCCCGCGCGCCGCAGCCGCCGGGCCCCGAGGGTCATGCGGCACACCGGGTAATAACCCCGCCGCGCGTCGTGCTCGCGCCGTGCCGACCGGCGGCGACCCCGCCGCTGGCATTCGACCATGCCGCCGGCGACCCAGGGTCGGTCGATTCAGCCACGCGCAGAGGGGGGTGAGGGGAGGGGGGAGGGCTTCTTAGAAGCGCCCCTGCTTCTTGGAAGGCGCGGGCCTCATCTGCAGACGTGAGGCCAGCGCCTTCCAAGAAGCAGCCTCCTTCTAAGAAGCCTTCACCCCTCCCTCCACCCCCCTCTGCGCGCCGCCAATCGATGTTGACCGAGCTGATGTTTCGGAGGCGGCCGATCCTTCAAGGTTGAACGATCCCCGCGGTGTCAGAAACCAACGTCGGGATCGACACGACACGAACCTGCCGTACCCCGATTTCCAGGGGCACAGTCGGACCGAAGTACAAGATCGAGGTCGGTTCGGCGAGGGTAATGTCAGCTCTAACGAATGATGCCCCCCCGGGGCTAATGAATAGACCCCGCGGGGCGAGACACTTGCTTTGATCACGCGCGCCAGGGCGCGGAAAGCTCGGGGAACCACCGCGCCGCGGATGAGGGCAAACGGCATGAATGAGGAGGAGGAGGAGGAGGAGGAGGAGGAGGAGGAGGAGGAAGGAGGAGGAGGAGGAGGAGGAGGAGAAGAAGGAAACCAACGACGACGGCCACAACGGCGGCGGCGGCGGTGGCGACGACGACCACGACAGAAGGGGCGGAAGGAGGACTGCCCGCCCTGCTCGAGTCGGGCGAAAGGCTGGGTAAGGAAAAGGGGGGTTGCGAAACCTGCTGCGCGCAGCTGGTTTCGGTCGCACCGCCGAGGGACCAGTCCTCGATGCATGGCCGCAGTCGGCGACAGGAGGCGCTTTGGAAATCAGCAGCGGGAACTGCTTGGCAAATCCCCGCTTAGTCACGCGCCCCTTTCGTCCAGCCCGCGTTGCTCGCGGGCCTGCGAGGCAGTTGGCGTTCCCCCAGCTGCGGCCAGGGCAAAAGAAGCGCATCGGTTCGACAGAAAACAAACGGAAAATGCGGGGGCGCCCTGGCTCACGGTCCCTGTTTCTGCCGCCCTTTATTTTCGCCCCCACCTCCTCTTTCAGTCTATGTTGTTTCTGTCGTTTTTTTTTCTGCTGGCGGCCAGGCGTCGGCGCTAATCACCGGCGCCGCCGCCGTTGTTTTTCAATCTGGCGCGCGCCACCCTTCGATTCGCCCGAGCAGGCGCTTTGATCAGAAACTGACATGTGATGTGTTTCGTGCCTGGTGGATTATATTGCGCATCCCAGGGAGGATGCGCTTGGATGTTTTGTGTGTTTTGGCCGGCGGCGGTCTTAAGTTCGTGACACATGTTCCTCTGTCCTAGGTCCAGGCACCGTGATCCCAACGATACACGCACACCATGATTTCAAGGAGTACCAGCTTCCTTGGGGGCCAGATTTCAGGAGGAGAAAAAACCACACACAGACACAATTAATCCTCGAGCCCCCGGAACAGATCGGAAAATACGGGGATTGGGGGGGGAAGACAAAAACCCAGAAAATATCGGAACAGATGGGGAATCATATTACTTGTGTGTGTGTGTGTTTATTTGTGTGTCGTGGGGGGAGGACGAAGGGGAGGAGGAGGAGGAGGAGGAGGAGGAGGTGGAGGAGGAGGAGGAGGAGAAGGCCGAGCTGGAGGAAGACGGGAGGGACTCGTGGGGCGGATGCCACGGCACGGCCCGCGCCCCTGTGTTTTTGAGGCCCCTCGGCCGCGGCCCCGTGGCTGCACGGTGGTTGTGCGCCTTGGCATCGCTCGGACGTGTGCATTTTTCCTCGGCGAGAGTCACCGGGGACGACCCTGGACCATCGAGCTCGAAGACCGACTTCTGACCACATCCACTTCTGGATCCTCGATTCTATGATAGGCCCTCGGGGGTGGAAGTGGGTAGTGTTTCCTTCCCCTGGGGTGGGGGAACTGCCCACCTCCACCTCTGGAAACCGCTTTGCGCAAGGCACCTCGGGAAGTGGGTGTGGTCAGAAGTCGGTCTCCTACGAGCAAAACAGCACGCGCGGAACCGAAAGGTGCACGGGAAATGGACGTCCGAGCGATGGCCAGGCGCGGGTGCCCCACGCGGCGCGCACGTGCTGCACCACGCTCCGGTGTCCAGACCACCCAGGCATGGATGTGCATCGTTTCGTCGGTGGCGGAAAAGAGGGGGGTGATGACTAGGGGGGGATGGATATCATGGCGAGGGCCATGATATTTCCCCAGATTTTATGGCGCCTCTTCTTGTTTCATTACGTCCCCGGCCCCCCCGCTGAGCCGCGCACATGCCGCCGGTCATGATTTTCATCCCCCCTCTTGGACGCCCCCCTCTTGGCCGCTCCCGATTGTGGAGTGCGCCTTCGCGCGAGCATCTGCTCCAGATAGGCGCCGCCTGCGCCGCCCGCTGGCTGCGCGAGCATTCGGCCGGGCATGTTTTCCTGCAGGCGGATTTTGGAAAAAAACAGGGTATGGTCGAACAAGATGCAAAAAGGTAATACAACACACGCAACATCGTCAACACATGTGTTTCAGTTATGTATCTGTTTCGAGTAAGTGGACATGCCTGATGTGACTATAGGTCGGCCTTGCCGTCTCCGAGGTTTTCGCGGGAGCCTCTGGTGGTGCCCGCCGTCGCTGTGCCCCGCGACGACGGCGAGCTCAGACCCTCGAAGGTTTGGCTCAAGCGACTCGCGCCGTTCCGCGGACCCCCCGGGTAATCGAGAGGTCCATGGGAGGGTCGCCAGATTCAGGCAACATTTCCAGCGGCTGCGATGGGCGTGTGTGTGTGTGTGTGTGTGTTGTTTTGTGTGTGTGTGTGTGTTTTGTGTCTGTGTGTGCGTGTGTGTGTGTGTATATGTGTGTGTGCGTGTGTGTGCGTGTGTGCGTGTGTGCGTGTGTGCGTGTGTGCGTGTGTGTTTGTGTGTGTGTGTGTGGGTGCGTGTGCGTGTGTTCACTACCTAGGCTCTGCCTAGAAGGGTTCTTACCCTGTGTCTTAAATGGGCCGGGCAGTGGGGCTCGCCCCGGGCGGTTCCCCCGGCATCCGCCCCGCGGTTCCCCCAGTGACGTTCCTTTAGCTGAGCGTTGCTTATCTCATTTTAGCTTAGCTTATTTCATCTTAGCTTAGCTTAGCTTCATCTTAGCCCAGGTGCATCTTAGCTTAGCAAAGCCCAGCATAGCACAGCATAGCGCAGCATAGCATAGCATAGCATAGCGCAGCACATCACAGCACATCATAGCACCGCGCAGCATAGCATAGCATAGCATGGCATAGCGCAGCTTAGCAGAGCACAGCATAGCATAGCGCAGCTTAGCATAGCATAGCATATCATAGCTTAGCATAGCACAGCGCAGCAT